TAATCATCGAATAAGCTTCGGCTTCCGGGCACTTCGCTTCCACTCAAAACCCATTTTCTTGCATTATTTTATACTGCGCAGTGATGCGATCATAAAATTTAGCGGTGCACATCTTGATTGAATTCCGTCTGAGAAGTTCACTTTTTGTTAACACTTAATCTTAACAGGGTGAAATTCATTGGTATGCAACCAGATGAGGCATCTGTTTACTAATGTTATAGTTTCTGAAATTTATTGCCTCACTTATGAAATATAGCGAAGTTCCGAAAAATTCACAAGGAAACAATGAATTTCAAATGTTCGGAAGAGAAGTCATAAAAGAGTATTTATGGGAAAAAACGAACAATTTCTTGTCTGATTGTATTCATTCATTGGCTTGTAGCGAATGCATGAAATATAATCAAGAAAGGATATCTGACAATCACCGAAATGCAGCCCAAAATTGATTAATCCTCTTTTCGCTTTATTTGTTATATTCGACCATCAGGCACCATTTATTGCTGAGTCTTCTGGCTGTTAAATTTCCTAATGAATTCAACGCTGTGTGTCTATGCTCTCGTCACGATTTTGCTCATTTTACTCTTAGTAACAACAGCCGCTGTCTACAAGGTTTGACGTTGCTGTGTCATTGAAATTGAAATTATCACCGAATTTCATCACTTATTGCCTCATATTGTCCAGCTGTACACTCACAAAATTTTCCATATTTTTTGAAACTCAACCTTTTTTTCATAGTAATCAAATTCTAATGCATTCAATCCACTGACACAGTGGCACCATGCGTAACGTTTCAGTTTCTGTGCGCGTTTACCTTTGTACCGCCTTGAAGTTGAGGTCCATAAGCGAACTGAGTGAAATTTACTGCTGAATGAATACGGCTATAAATGAGTGGAAAATTGATACGTCTCTAAAGGGTGGCTATTTGATTTGGCATGATTGTGCGAAATTCGCAAATTACTTTAGTTTTTACTATTCATAAAATATAGTTCATGTGTATTGGTTACTGCTAGATAACTGCAGCACTTATCTATTTTAAGCGTCCTATAAAAATGAATATAACTTGAAGAAAATGCTGCAGGTGTACAAGCAAAAATTGATTGAATGAGGAGAGCAATGGACAGAAATATGAACTAAGAAAATGCTCATGAAATTTATTCGAAAATGAACGTAATAAGCAGACCATTTCAAACATTTCGTTCGCAGTTTATTGTCCGCGTTACCATTTGTCTTCGCATCATACATAACTGAGAAGTTGCACGCAACAGAAACGCTGCATAGTTCCTTTCTTGGGAGTTTAATATCTGTTCAGGCTATAGTTTTAAAGCTCTCATATTGAAAGGAATCTTCCTAACTGTGTTAACCACCACTTCTTTCGCCTAACGTTGTCCGTTGGGAATTCAGTACACTTCGTTTGTTTACACACTTGGGCAAATTAATGTCGATTCACGTTGGGATCATATGGGATATTTTAATGAGCTATTTTGGGTGAATTGCAGTGGTTTGTTGATTGTGTTTGATTCGGCGACCTGGTTCAGCTGTTTATGTGCCACTCAGTATCAATCTTTTATTATGAAATTTTATCTCTGCAAGCAATCAGTTGTTTCGATTTTAATAAGATGTGCATATTAAGAGAATAATATTTGGAGTGTGAGTATTATTTCGAAATGTCGGTTGCATATGTAAAATGACGAGGCGAGGCGATTGTTTACAAGCATATTTTTATGCAGCAATCAAGTTGCATTTGTGGTGAAGAAGACGCATCGCTGCTGCCAAATAATTTGTTTGTCAAGTATGTGTGATCGATGCGCATTGATATGTGTCGCAAACGGATGAGATTAGTCGTAAAGAAGAAAACTGCACTGAAAGATGTGTTAATGTTCACATTCCATAAATGAAAGTCATTCGATATTGATGCAAATAGCAGTTGAGGCCCTACTTCAAGTATCGCATTTCGATTACGCTCCTAAACGATATTTAGAAGTTTTGCCTATTAGCCGCATAACTAGAGAACAGATTGATTTACGCTTTACTGATGTGAGGATCACTTCTTAGTAACATCTGCTTTAATTTGTTTAGCATTCCAAGACACAATTGACAATAGCCTCAGTCTTTCATGGTTTGTCTCACAAACAGAACTTCATCAAAGCCAACAGTTGGGAAATTTCCGATGAATATTTAGCGATTGAACCTTCTCGTACGATTGGAAACTTCATCGGCGGAAGTAGAATTAAGAGATAGATCAATTTTAGAATTTATCGTCCAAAACTACTATTGTCCATTGATTCACGATAATTTGCCCCGCATATAGCCATGGAACTCAGTGTTTCAATCAACAAGCGTTCACAAAATCAACGAGTTACTCCATCGACGCGCCAATTACTGAATATTATCCTTCTTTCATTTTATATAGCGTGAACTAAGCTTTTTTTGAGTGAAACGCAAGTGAACAGCGAAAGAGAACACCAGTTATGCTTTGCTGAGTTGCTGAATGGTACCTGAATGAATACTTGATTATCACTGCTTTTTAGTGTTCGAGTGAACAAATTGATCATTGCCTGATGCTCATAATCAGAGTGTAAGAATTCCAATTTTGCAATGAGTTCAGTTGGAATGATTTGATTAAAAATCACAACGTATTTGATTTTTTGCAGTGGTGGAAAAACACTGGGAATTGATTACGGAGCTTTTTTAATCTTATATCCTATTTAGTTGCCACCGTTCATCTGTCTCTTCAGTTTTTGTAATTTTTCAAAACGAATCTACTATTTTTTTGTAAACGAATCCATCCATGCAGAATCATTCAGAAAACCAGAACCAAAAAAAACAATCTTATCAGTTCCAGATAATCAGATGTCCGCGTTATGAAAGAAAAACTTCAAGTCCTTTCTCAACAAGGAGCAAAAGAAAATATTTGAAGGACTAATCTGATACGATGAGAATGTTTGGCAACCCTTTTGAATCACTGAAATAAAGCCGAACAGATTAAGCTAGAGTGGAAATTTATGAACAACGAAAAGCGTGAGAATCACTGACATAATTGTAGTGTACATTAGTATTGATTCTCTCACATTAATACCTATACTATGTTGATGTATAAATACCTCATGTCTCTAACCCTATATTATGAGAAGTCTGATCGAAACGTTTCATATGAAAAGAAGATTTTTGCCTTGTTGGGCAAATATCTCTTCAATCTGTTCCCTTGAAATCAGCCTGTGTGTACGTCTACTGACTCAGATTTCAGTTTTAGAAGCATTGATAGAATACATCTATACATGTTCATTCGAGATCGATCTACAATTTTGCTTTCATCTCAGTTATCCTTGAAAGATTTGCTTCTTACAATTTTCGTTCGGGTTACCACTGGAGGTTCGCGAAGGAGGAGGGAGAGTTTGAGGACATGGCCCCAAAGCAAAATTATTACGACATTGCAATGATTCATGTTTCACAGGGCAACTTTGTGCATCTACAAAGTTAAACTCATACAAGATAGTCAAGTAAAATCATTGAGTTATCTCGCCGACTTTTCTATTATTGCTTCATGAAGGTTGCTTGAAACTTCCAACCGATATTCTCTGTTGATTGCGTAACCCAGCGATAGGAATTCACAATGGACGAAAGAGTAAATGTTGTGGATGCTGGGCGAGAGTGGAGTAGTAAATGAGAGTTTATTACGAGTATTACAGTTTACAAGGTCGGTGAATATGTGAGGTTACACAATATGAGATTTACAATAGAAAGCTGCCACTCGTTAGCAAATCAGAATATTTCACAATAATCAGTGATTACAATAATTTATAATATTCGAAATATTAATTAGTTATCCTTTAGTACAATATTCAAATTTCAAGTACTTATTCTTTTCACAATACAGAAGGTGCCAATGTTGGCTACAATAAATTTACAATATTAATCAACACTTCACAATATTATTAGATCACAAATTAGGTATAGCGGCTTTATTTGCCGATTAAGATGCCACTTTATTGGCTAACACTGACTGCATATAATGATACTTTAACTCGACCTACTCTGAATATTTCTTCTTCCACCATTCTTTTAAAGCGTCGTTGCTTTCTTTATTTCTCACATTCCTGAAAGATCATATTCGTAGATAAGGTCTTATGATAGCATTCATAGCTTTTAACCAATGTCTTTGTTTTGACTGTAATCATGCATTTCAGCTGAATATGCAACAAATGTGCAACAAATATGTTACCATTCCATATGTTTATTCTTTATATTTTGACTTGACGATTTCATAGAATCGATGTTTTGGGAATTTGGAAAGTGCAATGTTTACAAAAGTATTATGTCAGTGCGGAATGACCTAGAAAAACCTTTAGATCCGATTAGATTTCTTCGCTTTTTTCATTACCGCCATCTGGAAAATAGATCCCTGAAGTGAATGATGGTAAAAGATTTTCCAATAATTCGAATGATTCGTTGCATTTAAATAATCCTGTTCTTAACGCAAGAATTTTAGCTGAACTCCTCAACCGAACGTTTCACCTCCCGTGAATCTTCAAGCACAGTGTAGAAATACCTGAACTAGGCGTCACCGATAGTTCACGAATTCTAATTACTTTTAATCATACATGTGATATTGAATGCGATGCATTGAATAATACCGAGGGATAATTATGTGCAACCATATAAGTGTTCTGATCACTATTGGTATTGCCATTCCGTTTTTTTCTACTGCAGTATGTTCGACTGATAAATTGAGTCAGATTTAAATTTGTACACAAATCACTGCATTTGTGAGATGTTTCTGTCTGCGAATGTTTCTAATTCGAATTACGAAATATTTGCACATGTAGACCGCCTTGTTGTAGTCCCAAATTCAATAAGAGCGCCATGAGTCGGTTGAAAACCTACGGTATACTCTAAACGAGTGGCGTTATGAACTGAATCTGAGTGTGAAGTTTTCTTCTGCACTGTACCATTTTCAGCTCATTGTTTGTCGTCGGTAAGTGACAACATATAAGTGAACGAAGATGTGTGATGAACAGGGAAGAGATTCGGACGAGGTTGATGGACTCGTCATGATTGCGCGACGTTCTGCGTCGGAGACCGATGATGCAGATGTTGTTCATACACCGTCTAGTGACCTCATTACTTTCGAGGTTCAAACTATTCATTGCATATATACAGCTTTCTTTCCATTCAGTTTTTTTTCAAAGAATTATAATTGGTTTCATGCAATTGGCACGAAAGTTGTGATGGAGTAATGGAACGCTATGATAAACACTAAAATGGGTCGTTTTGAGAAGAATTATGTTTGACGTTCTCTATAGGATTCAGAATATGAACGGTCATTTCCAGTGTCAGTAAAAGATGACTTCTGTCGAACCCTTCAGATATGGCACACAGTGTCGTATTTATTTCCATGAAAATTTTCATATAGCTTTATTCAAGTTTATCACGTGAGCGAATCGCTCCTCGTTTTTCCCTGATCAATACGCTGTCGGCAATTACTGAGTCAGTTTTTTACGCTGATTCCGGAGTTTCCAATCATGCTCAACCAATTCAAGTTTTCGCATGATGATAGGATCAGTCTATTCGCGATATGTGACACTTAAAAGTGTTTGCCGGATACATTACAACTAGTGATGTCTCTATACCACGTTTTTGAAAAATGTTCTATTCTGTTCGATTCCGCTTCAAAATGGCTCTATTCTATTCTGTCCTGTGCGTTTCTCGTTTGAGAACTGTTCTATTCTATTCTATTCTACCCCCTTAAACTGTGCTATACTGTTCTATTCTATTCCGTCAGTCAGAAAAGCGACACGATAAAAGTTGTGGTTATTAGGGTTCGAAACGTGGTTTTTTGGTATTTGCAGTGCAAAATGGAAATTATTTCGAGTGAGAGAAGATTGTCCACGGAGGCAGTTGACAGCTTTTGACCGTGATGATTGGAGGAAAACGGAGGGTTTCGGGCTCTGGTAATCAACATCACTGAAGAACAGAGGATTCTCGTTTCGTCCCAACAGTTCGGTCAGAAACTGATGCACGGTTTCTCTCATTAATGAGTTCGGAATGAACTGATCCGTTCAGTTGGATTCGAATCGTCCAAGCATTAACTTTTATTGGAGGTGCAAAATGTGAACAATTTTTGTGATGGATTGCTCCAAGAATTCAGGATACGACTAACATTTGAATGTGGGGTGCTCATTCGGAAATGATGAGTTGTTTCACCTCTCACTGATGGCCATTCGTCTCTCCCTAGGGATATTAAATATGATGTTTCCTTTACCTTCTTGGTTCGACCTTTGCATTCACTGCCAAGACGCATAGGCCTACGTAAAATCACCCAGCATAGCACATCTCTTGCGAAATATCATACAACTCAGAGAATTTCTAATTAAATGCTTTCATAATATTTATTGATAACAATACACTTGCATTATGCACATCGAAAATAATAGCAAAAAAATAATAAGAATAATAATAAATAATGATAAGAGCAAATAATAATGAGATTAAACAATAATAACAGCAATAGTAGTAACAATAAATCATAATAATAAAAAATGTAAGTAGTGATAAATAATAGTACAAATAAATAATGACAGGTAAAATGAAAACAGTATTAATAAAAACAATAATAATAAGGAAAATGATAAGTTACAATAAATGATAATAAGAATAAATAGTAATCGTTTAGACAATAGTAATAAATAATAACAAATAATAGTAAAAACACAGTGATAATAATAAATAGTAATAAGTAATAATAGCAGGAATAATAATAGCAATAATAGTATAATATGGTAAAAATAATAATAATAATAATAATAATAATAATAAATATAATAATAATGATAATAATAATAAATAATAATAAAATATACAAATATAATAATAAACGCGATATTAATAAGTAATAATAATAAATATAACTATAATACAACAATGGCAATTTATCTCGCTGCAGTATTCAAAAAGAACAGTTCAAGGAACAGCCAAAATTTGTTGAAAACTGTTCTGCTTTGCTCTTTTGGGCTCAAAACGGCTCTATTCTGTTCCAAACCGTTCCTCCCTCATTTGCGAACTGTTCTATTCTATTCCATGGAACAGAACAGGAATAGAACAGCTTAACTGGAATAGAGACATCACTAGTTACAACGATTGTTGTTTTTATTTTTGGTAGTTAGGTGAAAGGATATTTTTCAAAATCACAACAAATTGCAACATTTTTATATTTGTCTATTGAATAAATGCTCTACAGAGTATATTCAACTTCTCAATTTCCAGGTTGATGACAGCGTGAAACAACAACAATTTGAGGGAATGAGTGCTGAAGATGTTTCATTATCAGAGGTGAGGCAAAACCGTCAATAACCCGTTGAATTTCGAAATACCGTCACTGGTCAAGGTGAACGACTCATATTAGAGGAGTAGTTTGCGCACCTGAATACAATAATGTTATCGTTCCGAGTATACAGAATGTCCGCAGACTGTGCACAATTCATGGGTTCAAATTGAATATTGCAAAACATGTCATTGTTCAAGAACGTCTTGTACATTTCGTCTTGGGATAGCAGAGTGGCCGTCACCCCATTTTGTCTGTGTTCGCACTCTGGAACCATCCCGTAGTTGGCAAAAAACATGAGTAAAAGGTTTGGCATATATCTGAACTTCGAGGACCAATGAATACAGTAATCCAAGAGGTCATATCAAGCATTTCATGGATGGTTCAAACAGGAGAACAAATCTGCTCGTTTTGCCACTGTTAGTGCAAACGACATCGTGTAAACTTAGAACTGAGTGAGCACGACCTCATTAAGAGCTGGAGCTGCTTTCCTAAAAAGCCTTCCAGCCGCGAGCATTCAATCAATGGCAGTAACCCTTGTATCGCCTTAAACAAACAACCATGAGGTGGTTTTGCTTGAAGTAGATGCAGTGATAGCAACACTTTGAGACAGTGGCACCATCAGTCATGTACTCCAGTTTTTTTTCCAATTTTGGGCATATGACGGCATGTCAGGGAGTGCGAGAGAGGATGGGTTGGGAGGGGGTGCGATGAAAGGAGGTGAGTGAGGCATGCAACGGCATCTTAAAATTTTCTTGGGGATGCAGGAGGCAAAAGGTTGAGAACCACTGCTTTACTCGAATTCAGGAATATGCAATAATTTTTAGAACATCGGATTGACTTAAAAATTACAGACGAAAACTGCAATGGTGAGTGATGCCACAGCAGCTACTACGGATGCTGTGCAAGCGCAGACGTCTTTATCCGATAACGTGATCAGGACACGTGTCATCAAACGACTGGGTCCAGAAGACAGGTATCTGATTGAATTCATTCCACGAGAAACAGTTTTTTAATCCATTTTATATCACTTACACATCACAAGCATAATCGTCTACCTAAACCATGCATCCATGTGACCGTATATCCTTATCATCGTTTAAGTTTACCAGCTAGCTAATCTGATAACCATCGTAATTCATCCCGAGGAAAAGCTCCATAACAAGTCGTGAATATGTTTAACCATCAAGCTCTATACCAAAGTTATGTCCGTCACTAGCCTATCAGCAAACTGCTCAAGAATGAAGCCTTTCTGTGAGAAAGGTATTATCCAGAGGGTGGGATTAGTCGAGAGAAAATCGCTCATTTCATTGATTAATTTTCCTAGCTTTAAGATATAAATAACACATGTAATGAACGGACAGCAATACTTGCCATATGAATTCTACCTACAAAGGGTGGGACGGTTTCCCCAATTTTCTCAGCAGATTCGACGAGCATTAAGGTCAAGTTCACTACATTCACTACGAGTGTGTTGCTCGATTCTGTGCAGTCAAAAAGCGATATGATTATATAGTCGTGCCTCGCATAAATGCATGATGCTGTTTATGAACTTGGAAGTGAAGCGAATCAA